CGGCCCCCAACCTTTCCGTCCCCGGGCAACGCCCCCCCCAAACCGGCCGGGGACACCACCCCCCACCCCCCCGCCTTTTCCCCACGAGCGCGTCACTTCCGGGATCCGGCGTCACGCGTCACCGCGCCCCCGCGTCCCGCCCCCTTGCCCACCTTGCTGGGCGGGGCTCCGGCGGCCCGCGCCGGTGGACCTCGCTGAGGCAAAAAAAGGGTTCGAGGGGACTGCGCGGGCTGAGCGCTCCGGGCACCGGGGGAAAAGGGGAGACGGAGCCCACCTGTGCGCGCCTCCGGACGTGCGCTCCCTCTCTAAAGGTTAGGGGGCTCGCGGGACAGGAAATACGGTAATTCGTCCAGTGTAGAAACAAAGAGGGAAATATGGTAACGCGCACCTACATTTCCAAGCCCATTCTCAAGCGTGCATACATTAAACGTAGTAGGTGCGGGGACCTAGTGATCCAGAGGTGGATAAAATGCCCTCCACCCCGCACCTCAATGAGAGAAGAGAGGAAATTTCTAAAATAGAGTCTTCCCTTCATCCTCCCCATCCCTGAAATGGCTAACATCCGAGACCTCTCTTTTTAGAGTCCTCTTCATTGTGATTAGAGTAACCAAACTCGTATTAAAGTCAGGCGTATGAAACCAACTCCGATCTTGAGTACAAGTAAACTGGAGAGTAAAATCTAATTGCGTAGGAACTATGTTTTGTTCCCTAGTAGCACCACAGGTTGGAAGTAGGCGGACGATCGTTATAGAGTGAATAAATGGGTTGGATATATTCTACTAGAGCTGCTAGATGACTTTTTTTTTTTTTTTGAGGTGCTTGCGGAATGGAAGAAAATGCTGGCAAGTCAGTGTAAACACGAACTGACTTTCTGCGATTGAAATACAGCAGGTCGAGTCCCTGCCTGAAAGTTCACCATTCCAAAGTAGCTGCCGTCCACGACATGCGGCATACAACGGAACTGAGCTTTTCTTCCCGGTCCCCCAACTTTGCTCCAGGGTGACGGGTTAAGCAAGGGGTTAATTGACATAGCAATTTTTAGGAAGGCAGAAAGGTTGGATTTTTTCTACTAGAGCTGCTAGATGACTTTTTTTTTTTTTTTTTTGAGGTGCTTGCGGAATGGAAGAAAATGCTGGCAAGTCAGTGTAAACACGAACTGACTTTCTGCGATTGAAATACAGCAGGTCGAGTCCCTGCCTGAAAGTTCACCATTCCAAAGTAGCTGCCGTCCACGACATGCGGCATACAACGGAACTGAGCTTTTCTTCCCGGTCCCCCAACTTTGCTCCAGGGTGACGGGTTAAGCAAGGGGTTAATTGACATAGCAGTTTTTAGGAAGGCAGAAAGCAAAAAAGTCCTTCAATAGACAAAACTATGCTTCTTCGCAAAACACTATTTTCCCAGGGCAGAGGAGCCGCAGAGTGAACCTCGTACCCTCAGTTCTCAATTTCCCACTGCCAACAAAAGAGTTAAACTGAAACCCTCGCGTCCTCTCTTCGCGCTTCAAACTGACCCGTCCGGGGAGCGGTAGGGGTGACGTCATCGCAGCGCGACGACCGGAAGTAAGCGCCTGTGCTCCGGGGTGCGGAGCTCCTGCTTCTATCTGGACGGTCATCGCTCCTCTCTGATCCAGGCCTAGATGGACAGTGCCCACGAGTCGCCCACCGAGAAAGGTGGAGAGGCAGGGGAGTCAGAGGAGACGCCCGCTGCTCCCGGGGGACCGGGGACTACGGACACGGATGTACTCCCGGAGGAAACTGACGGAGACGGGGATGCGGACTTGAAAGAAGCCGCAGCGGAGGAAGGCGAGGTAGGAAGAGATGTGTTGGTGAGGTTAGAGGAGCACCCCGACTTTGCTGTTACTGGATGCTCGTCGATACTGGTGGGTAGTTCCTCCCACGCAAGAACTCGAACTCCCTGCGACTCGTGCCAGAAACTGCAACCTTGTAGGGCGAGACAAAATAAAATGCTGGTGACGGTCGGTCTCAGAGGCCCAAACTCTGGATTAATATTTTTTTATTTTTGCCTTTAAGGATTAAAACTACTTCTACAGGAATTTTAAGTGGCCTCTTGGTTTTTCCAGTGAAGACATAGGGATCAATGCCACAGTAAGATTTGGCGCAGAATTCCATGCACCCCTTTCGATGCAATATAATAGTTCTTCAATGTTGTTTAAGCACAACTTGTCTGTAGAGATGGTAGACCCGTTAAAAGGAAATTTTGAGGGGATTGCTGGTTAAATCGTATTCTTACTCTTTTGGGATATTTAACTGCTATCATTGACCTGGTTACTAATGTCCAAAGGTCTCTATAGCATAAGAACGACAAATCCATCAGTTGCGCCAGGCTGAGAGTCAGCAGTGTTGCCTAGCAGAGCGTCAGTTAGGGGATGAAAATATCAGCATTCTCTGGGTGTTATTTCTTTTCTTTTCTTTTCTTTTTTTTTTTAGAGGTTTTTGCTATAGGGCGCATGTGCTCTCCAGAAAGAGAAAGACAGAGAGACAGCGAGAAATCACCCCCAAGGGAGCATGGCCACTCCGCAATCCCTTCTCCTACATTCTCCTCTGGGGATCTTGGGCACGCAGGCACACACACCCAGCGTGAGTTTAAGCCACCGGGTCCGGGACTTGAGCCACAGTCGACTGCATGGGAGTTTAGCGACACAGTCATTACGCTAACTGCTGGTCCCTCTGGGTGTTATTTCTAAAGGAAGAATTCTAAAAGTCTTAGAGCCAGAGTGGACATTAGCAATCATGGGGAGGGGGAGGAGGGGGACAGCGAGTGGGTGGTAGTTAAGGTGTGGGACTCTCACATGGTCAAGTGTGATTTGATTCTGGAACCAGTGGCTTGAAAACCATGCCAGACACATGTCCCTGCATGCCCAAAATCTCTAGAGGAGAATGGAGGAGAAGGGATTGTGGCTTGGCTATCTCCCCTGGGGGATGATTATTCTTGCCTTCCCTCTTTTTTTTTTTTTCTGAGAGGTTTTTGCTATAGGGCACGTGCACAGGCTTGCCAGAAGGACAGAGAGAGAGAGAGAGAGACAGAAAGTGAGAAATCACCCCCCAGGGGGGATGGCCACACCACAATCCCTTCTCCATTCTCCTCTTGGGATCTTGGGCACACGCGCACACGCACATGCGCCTGGCATGAGTTTTAAGCCACCAGATCCGGGACTCAAACCGTGGTCGACTACATGGGAGTCTAGCGACATAGCCATTATGCTAACTGCTGGCCCCTTGCTTTCCCTCTTACTGTCTCTTTTTATCTGTGGCAAGCCCACATATTCTATGACCAAAAAAAAGGCAAACAAAAAAACGTAAAAGAGAGAGAAATCATGGGGTGAACATTAGATTAGATGGATATAACCTTTTAGAGCATGAAGTTGCATCAAATATACAAGATAAAGTAGAGCCAGCAGGTGATGCAGAGATTAAGATGGCAGGATCCCACCTGCTGCTCAGTTGCAGTCCCAGAGGCTTGAAAATACATGCCCAAAAATCCAGAAAAGAGAATGGAAGAGAAGGGATTGTGTGGACATCCCCTCTGAAGAGTGCTTTCTCACTTTCCTGCTCTTTCTCACTCTTGTCTCTGGTGAGTGCACATGCCCTATAGCAAAACTTAAAATAAATAAATAAACGAAGTCATTACCTAAGTAAATAAATGACCATTGAGTATTTTTTTTTTTTAGAGAGAGACTTTTGGTAGAGTGTGTGCGCTCACCAGGGACAGAGATAGAGACAGAAAGTGAGAAATCATCTCCCTCCCCTCCACCCGCCAGGGGCTGTGGCCATGTTCAATCCCTTCTCCATTCCCCTCTTGGGATTTTTGGCATGCACACACGCTCCTACTGGGTACAGGACTCAACCCTCAGTCAGCCACATAGGCATCCAGCAATGTAGCCATGATGCCATCTGCTGGTCCCAAGCATAATTAAAATATATATTTATATATTTTAATATATTTATGTTGTCTAAAAGTGACAAAAATATGAGAAAACTTTTTTTAAAAGTTTTTTATTTGTTTTTTAGTTTTGCTATACCAGAGAGAGACAGAGGGTGTGAAGTCACCCCCCAGGAAAGGACAGCCATGCTGTAATCCCTTTTCCATTTGGAATTTTAGGCTTGCACACCTGTTTTTCAACCACTGCGTTTGGGCCTCAAAATGTTCAATCAACCATGTGGGATCCAGTCACCTAACTTCCATGCCATCTGCTGGCCCAACAAAACTGTTTAAAAGAAAACTTCTTAGAACAGGTTTCAAGGATGGAAAGAATCTAGCTCAGTCCACTACAGAGAAAAATCATTAAACAGAAATTTTCACCCAACAGAGAATGAAGTTGGAAGCTTCTGATTATGTACTAGACCACAAAGGCAAACATGAATTCTTAAAAGTTGAAACCATAACTGGCCACATCCTGTTAATACGAGATAGTAGACCTGAAATTAACAAAAAGCTACCTCACTCCACTCCCTTCCCCCCCCCAAAAAAAAAAAACTAGCCACCTAAACATTTTAAACTGTTTTTTATTTTATTTTTGAAAGAATTATTTTATTTAACTTTATTTAGTTAGTTAGTTTTTAATTTGACCAGAAAGGACAGAGAGAGAGAGAGAGGAAAAGTGAGAAAGCAAGCTGCCAGGTCTGGGACTCAAACCATGGTCAGCCGTGTGGGAGTCCAGCACCCTTAACCACCATGCCACCTGCCAGCCCCTTAAACTGCTTTTTAAATAGTCCTAAGGTTGAAGAAATTAACAGAGTGAACACATCAAAGTCTGTGGAGTTTGACCAAAGCCTATTTAGAGAAAAATTCATAACTTTAAAATATTTTTATTAACAAACAGGAGATATTGAAAATAAGCACCCAAATCAAGAAACCAGAAAAAGAACAAAACAAACTAGGGGGGCTAGTGGGGGGCTGGCAGGTGGCATGGTGGTTGAGGCACTGGACTCCCGCATGGGCGACTACAGTTCAAATCCCAGACCCAGTGAGCTGAAAATCATAACAAATAAATAAATAAATGTGGGGGGTGGGACCAGCAGTTGGTATAATGGCAATGTCGCTGGACTCCCATGTAGTCCCAGACTCGGTGGCTTAAACTCAACACCAGGCACGTGTGCGTGTGTGCCCAGGATCCCGAGGGGAGAATGGAGGAGAAGGGATTGCAGCATGACCATCCCCCCGGGGGGTGATTTCTCGCTTTCTGTCCCTCTGTCTTTATGATGAGCACATGCACCCTATAGCAAAAACCTCTCCCCGCCAAAAAAAAAAAGTAAGTAAATAAACGGGGGGAGAACTACAGTATAGAAACAAGGAGTTAGTAATGATTAAAGTGGATACTAATTCATTAGTACTTAAAAAATTAAGAAATGATAAAATTAAGACCTAATTATTTGAAATATAAATGAACAAAATTAGCAAGTTAAAGGGACACTGAGGCAGTGACGAGGCGATCTGGAGATCTTTAAAGTTAGAAGAAAAACTAATGTTGAAGGTTAGACCAAATAAATGTGAAAAACCTAAGGAAAATGATTTTTTAGGAAAATAAAATCAGGGGACCAGCAGATGGCAGAGTAGTTACATCACTAGACTCCCACATAACCAACCATCGTTCAAGTCCTGGACCCGGTGGGTTCAAAATCACGCTGTGCATGTGCATACCAGCCCAACTTCCTGGGAAGAGAATAGAAAGGATTGAGGTGTGGCCATCTCCCCTGGAGGGTGAGTTCTCACTTTCCCTCTCACTGTGTGTGTCTCTGTCGCTAGTAAGCACATGTGCCCTAAGGCCAAAACCTCTATGTGTATATATATATTTTTTTTAAAGAAAATATAAACATCAAAATTGAAACACAAGGTTATAAAACTTGTGTAAATCAGTGACTAGGAAAAAAAGGAGGGCTGGTTCTATGGCCTGGTGGTTAAGTCAGCCAAATCACACGTGGCCAGCTGCACAGTTCAAGTCCCAAGAGCCAGTGGTTGGAAAACATGCTGGCCTTGTGTGCCAGGAAAAGGGACTGTAGCATGACCCTTCTCTGTTGGAGGAGGTTTTCTCCTTTCTCTCTTCCTATATCTCTGTCTCTCTGGTGAATGCACATGCCCCCTAGGGGAGGGGAAAAAAAAGGAAAAAATTGTCAAAGCTATACCACTTTCATTCCCACCTACCCTCCGATATTTCTGTGTCATCTTTTTTTTTGGAGAGGTTTTTGCTATAGGGCGCGTGCGCTCGCCAGACAGACAGACAGAGACAGAAAGACAGAAAACAGGAAATCACCCCCCAGGGGGGGATGGCCATGCCACCATCCCTTCTCCTCCATTCTCCTCTCGGGATCTTGGGCACGCACGCACACGCCTGGCGTGAGATTTAAGCCACCAGGTCCGGGACTCAAACCGCGGTCGACTACGTGGGAGTCCAGTGACATAGCCATTACGCTAACGGCTGGTCCCTTTCTGTGTCATCTTTAATCTGAGTTCCTCTTTAAGGAAAACAGTTAAATCTCATTAATGAGTTTTATGGAATACTTAAGATTCCGGAATAAGAGCTAGCGGGTGGTGTGGAAGTTAGGGTGGCTGGATCCCATATGTCCTGCAGATGGCATAATGGTTACGTCACTGGACTCTCACATGGCTGATTACAGTTCAAGTCCCAGCCCCAGTCACCTGAAACTCACGCTGGGCACTTGTGCGTGCATGCCCAAAATCCCCAGAGGAAGCTAGAGGAGAAGGGATTGCAGCATGGCCATCCCCCCCAGGGGGTGATTTCTCACTTTCTGTGTCTCTGGCAAGTGCACACACCCTACAGCAAAAAAAAATAATCTCTTTTTTAAAAAGGCACTTGTGCATGCCAGGCATTGTGTATGTGCGTGCACGCCCAAAATTCCTAGAGGAGAATGGAGGAGAAAGGATTGCAGCATGGCCATCCCCCCAGGGGGTGATTTCTCACTTTCTCTCTCTCACTTTCTATGCCTCTGTCTTTCTCCAGCAATTGCTATACACCCTATAGCAACAACAACTACAAAAAACTTTTTAAAAACATGAAAAGATTCTATATTAAATTGGAGGGGATGAAGTTTGGATTTTATTTTTATTATTATTAGACTGAAATTTCCTAAGCATCTAGCATGAGTAAAACTGTTTAATGCTCAAGTGTAGAGAGAGAAATAGTAAAAGATAAACCTATCTTTAAAAGTTATCAGTCTACGGGAACCAGCAGTTAGCGTAATGGCTATGTCGTTGGACTCCCACGAAGTCGACTGCGGTTCGCGTCCCAGACCCGGTGGCTTAAAACTCACGCCGGGCACGTGTGCGTGCGTGCCCAGGATCCCGAGAGGAGAATGGAGGAGAAGGGATTGCGGTGTGGCCATCCCCCCTGGGGGTGATTTCTCACTTTCTGTCTCTCTCTGTCTGGCAAGCGCACGCACCCTATAGCAAAAACCTCTCCACAAAAAAAAAAAAAAAAAAAAAAAGTTATCAGTCTAGTAATAGGAAATAAATATTTGTATAATACAGTAGGTTGAACAGTAGGAAGGGAAAAGCCCTACTCTCACTTGAAAGTTCCAAATTGAGGGAACCAGCAGTTAGCGTAATGGCTATGTCGCTGGACTCCCACGTAGTCGACCGCGGTTCGTGTCCCGGACCCGGTGGCTTAAAACTCATGCCGGGCGCATGTGCGTGCGTGCCCAAGATCCCGAGAGGAGAATGGAGGAGAAGGGATTGAGGCGTGACCATCCCCCCTGGGGGGTGATTTCTCACTTTCTGTCTCTATGTCTCTCTCTCTGTCTGGCGAGCGCACGCGCCCTACAGTGAAAATCTCTCCAAAAAAAAAAAAAAAGTTCCAAATTGAAAGAAATATTCCTCCACATGGAATCATCAGCTGGGACGACATCTGTAGGTGTGGTGTCAGGGCGAGCCCCGGAGTGCAGTCGTGACTAAGCCTTGTGCCTAAGGAGCCAGATACCACATGGTCTGTAGTTTGAATTCCAGCTCCAGCAGCTTGGGAAGCCTGTCAGGTGTGTGCCCATGTTTGCCCCGAATCCTGGCAGGACAGAAATCGAGAGAGAAGGATTGCAGTGTGACCGTACCACATTAGGGTGCTCTTTCTCTCGCTCTTTCTCTTGCACATACACATACCTTCTGGCAATAAAAACTTAACTTTAAAAAAAAAAAAAGATCTCAAACCAGTCTTGTGGTCTGGTGGATAAGGGAGCTGGATCCTACATGGCCAACTGTGCAGTTCGAATCCCAGCTCCGGTGGCTCGAAAATCAGCCAAGCGTGTATGTGTGCCCCAAATCCTGACAGGATGGAGAAATGGAGACGGGATTGCCCACGCCCCATCAGGGGGTGCTTTCTCTGTCTCCCTCTGGCAAGCATATGTGCCCCCTGGCTTAAAAAAGAGAGACTAGATCTAGAGGCAGAATGACTAGCTGGATAGAGAGGATTTTGCTAAAGAATGAGGTCAGAGGGCCAGCGAGGGACATGGTGATTAAGGTGCAGTTTTCCAGCATGGCCAACTGCACATCCAGGTGTGCCAGAAATCCCAAGAGGAGAACGGAGAAGAGATTGCGTCATGGCCAACCCCCTGGGTGTTGATACCCTGCTTTCCCTCTTTGTCTTTCTTCAGTGAGCGCAAGTATCCTGTGGCAAAAACCTTAAAGGTGGCGGGGGAGCAGCATGTGGTGCGCTGAACTCTCACATAGTAGACCGTAGTTCAAGTCTCCAACCTGGCAGCTTGCTTTCTCACTTTCCCTATCTCTGTCTCTCTTACTTTGTCCCTCTCTGGTCAAACTAAAACAAAGTTAAATAATTCTTTTAAAAAAAAAAAAGAGGGATGAAGAGTGGGCCCAAGGGAGAGTGGTTTTCATGATCCTTGGTTACAGATACTGGTAAACATATAGTAGAGTTGTGATCACAGCTAAACTGGAAAACTGGATTATTGTGTTGGTTTTCATTCCATAGCTGGGTTATGATCTTCCTTTAAGAGAGATACCATATCTCACACTTGATGCTTCAGTTAGTGCCAAAAAACAAACAAACAAAAAAAACTCAATAAACAAGCTTATTGTGTTCTAATAAGATAACTTCTTTCTTTCTTTTTTCTTTTTTCTTTTTTTTTTTTGTAGAGAGATTTTTGCTAGAGGGTGTGTGCATTCGCCAGAGAGACAGAAAGCAAAAATCACCCCTCAGTGGGGACAGCCACACCACAATCCCTTCTCCATTCTCCTCGCAGGATCTTGGCTAAGCACACATACACATGCCCAGCATGAGTTTTAAGCTGCCAGGTCTAGGACTTGAACTGCAGTCCACTACGTGGGAGTCCGGTGATATAACTATTCCACCATCTCCTGGTCCTAGTGAGATGATATCTTTTTAGAGATTTTTTGCTATAGGGCACATGTGCTCACTGGAGAGACACAGAGAGACAGAAAGTGAGAAATCACCCCCAGCGGGGATGGCCACACCACAATCCCTTCTCCTCCATTCACCTCTCGAGGCTTTGGGCACAAGCACACACACACAAGGTCCAGGACTTCGAACCAAACCGCAGTCGACTACGTGGGAGTCTGGTGTCCAGTGACGCAACCATTGTGCCATCTGCTGGTCCTGAGATGATACCTTATTACCTTGCTTGAGCTTGGAGACGTGGCTAAACATGTAATAGTATTTCTTTCATCTCCCCAGCCTAAGACTCAGGATGTCTCAGATTTAACAGCAGTCGAAAGAGAGGATTCATCATTACTTACACCTGCAGCCAAAAAACTAAAACTAGATACCAAAGAAAAGAAAGAGAAAAAGCAGAAGGTGGATGAAGACGAGATTCAGAAGATGCAGTAAGTCACTTTCTGATCAGCCCTCGTTTCAGTGGTCTAACTTGACCACTCAGAGTTAATGAGTTTTTCTTGACCTTTGGGTTTTTTCCTTTTTTTAATTTAAAACACATGACAGTATAGTATAGGAAATATAAATAAGTAAAAAAAAGAAAAAAAATTACCTAACTACTAAGAGATATACACGGCCAGAATTTTGATGTGTATTCCTCAAGGTATCTTCTATGCATATATATTTATAAATTTTATTTATAATTAAATTTATATAAGTAATAATTCCTTAATTATCAAATACTGTTTCATAACCTGTTTTTACATTACATATGGTGAATGGGTTTTGTTTGTTTGTTTTTTAAAGAATTATTTAATTTTACTTATTTTTTTTTTGTAGAGGTTTTTTCCTATAGGGCGTTCACACACGCCAGACAGACAGAGACATTCCCCCCAACAGGGGGATGGCCACACCGCAATCCCTTCTCCTCCATTCTCCTCTTGGGATCTTGGGCATGCAGGTACACGTGCCAGGCATGAGTTTAAGCCACCAGGGTCCAGGACTCGAACTGTGGTTGACTATATGGGAGTCTAGTGACATAGCCATTACACTAACTACTGGTCCCACTTAATATTATTACTTTTTAATTTGACCAGAGAAAGAAGGAAGATGAGAAAGTAAGTCACCAGGACCAGGACCCAAACCACAGTGGGCAGTGTGGGCATCCAGCACCCCAACTACCACACCACCTGCTAGGCCCTATGTAGTGAATGTTTTTCATGTCATCTAGGCCATCATTTTCTTCACAATGAAAATAGTATATTTCCTGATTATAAAAATAGTATGAACTCATTGCAAATAATTCAGTGAATAAAGAAAAATAGAAAAAAATTGCCAATAAACCTACCACCTAGAGTTTACACTAAGTGAATATTTGGGTATATGTCTTTTCACATTTATTTTTTTAAGATATTTATTTGAATATCCAGCTTATTTGAAATGTATGGTTTGAAATATTTTGGTGTCAGTAAACGAGTCCATGAATTTTTTTTCTTTTTTAATTTGCTAAAGGGTATACGCGTTCACTGGAATGAGATGGTAGGGGATTAGACTAAGAAAGCACCTTTCAGGGGGTGACCGTTCTCTCAAAATTTTGGGCACATATGCCAGCATATTTTTCATGCTGCTAGGTCTGGGTCTGGGACTCAAACATATAGTCAGCCATGTGGGATCTAGCCTCCTTAACCACCATGCCAAACGCCCCATATACCTTTTTAAGAGAGAGATTTTTACTATAGGGCACATGCACTCATTGGAGAGACATAGAGAGAGAAAGTGAAAAATCAACCCCCGGCGGGGGGGATGGCCACACCGCAATCCTATCTCCTCCATTCTCCTCTTGGGATCTTGGGCACGCACGCACACGTGCCTAGCGTGAGTTTAAGCCACTGGGTTCGGGATTCAAACCACAGTCGACTACGTGGGAGTCCAGTGACATAGCCATTATGCCACCTGCTGACCGCCCCATATATCATTTTTAAGATAGCATTGTATCCCATTATGTGGATGAACCATAATTTAATCCCTATAACCCTTCTGGTGGGTTTTTTTTTCCTTCCAGTATTATGAGTAGTATTATTGGACACATCTTCACATGCTTGTCTATTCTTTTTGTTTTTTTTTTTTTGAGACAGGATCTCTGCATTCCCCAGACTGGCCCCTCAAATTCATAGCCCTCTCGCCTCAGTCTCCCAAGTGCATACCCACCATGCATGCCCTGGTTATTCATTCCATTTGTTTTATTGTTTTTGCCAGAATGCACGTGGCACGTGTGCTCACAGAGAAAGAGAGAAGAAAGCACTTCCCCAAGGGTGCAGTTACGCCTCAAGTCTCCTCCATTCTTCCTTCCCGTCAGCATTTCTAGCGCAGGGGCACACGTGCCTCATGTGCTTTCCAAGTCACTGTGGCCAGGATTCAAACTGGTTGGTCACATGGGATCTAACTCCCTTAACAGCTACTCCATGATACCAGCCAGTTCGTCGCTTCTTAAAATAATCTTAGAAATATCATTAGTGGTTCAGACTGGCAGGCGGTGGGGTAGTTTAGGTGCTGAACTCCCACATGGCTGATCCTGGTTTGGGTCCTGAACCAGCAGCTTTCTCCTTTTCTCTTTTTCTCTGTCTCTCTCTGGTCTAATTAAAATAATAACAACAATAATAAATAATCCTTTACGAAAAAAGTATAATTAGCAGTTTAAACAATATGAACACTTCGAAGTCTTTTCATACATGTTTCCAGATTTCCTCTCTGAAAAGGTATTCCAGTTCACTCTGCCTGAATGTATGAGTTTGTGTCCCTGCATTCTATTATCGTTCTTTTTAATAGTTATCTGATCTATGAAAAATGGTGGTGTGGACGTTTAAGTGGCTGGACTTTTTTGGGGGGGTGGGAGGAGAGGTTTTTGCTATAGGGCGCGTGCGCTCACCAGACAGACAGAGAGGGACAGAGAGACAGAAAGCGAGAAATCACCCCCCAGGGGGGATGGCCACGCCACAATCCCTTCTCCTCCATTCTCCTCCCGGGATCTTGGGCACGCACGCACACGCACCCAGCGTGAGTTTAAGCCACCGGGTCCAGGACCCAAACTGCGGTCAACTACATGGGAGTCCAGTGACATAGCCATTACACTAACTGCTGGTCCCTAGGTGGCTGGATTTTATATGCTGAGTGCACAGTTCAAGTCCCGGACCTAGGGGCTTGAGAAAATGTATCCAGTGCATGTGTGCTCAAAATCCCAAGAGGAGAATGAAGGCAATGGGATTTCCACCTGTTCATCCAGCCTGGGGAGTGATTTCTCATTCTCTCTGTCTCTCTCTCTGGTGAGCACACACACTTACAGCAAAACTAAACCAAAAAAAATAAATTTAATATTATCTATAGTTTATATTTTTAAGTTTTTCAGTTAGTAGTGAAGGTAAAAATTTTTCTGCTCTAAATTTATTGGCCATTGGTATTTTTGTAAATTTCTTATTTATGTTCTTTGTTCAATTTCTTTCTTCTTTTTTTTTTATATATAGAGAGATTTTTGCTATTTTTTTTTTTTTTTTAGAGAGAGATTTTTGCTATAGGGTGCGGGCGTTCTCTAGAGAGAAGAAAGCCAAATGGTACAGTTTAATATGTAGGGCCAGCCTGGTTGCCTAGTGGTTAAGGATGGAGAAATGGAGGAGGAGGAATGACAGTGTGATCACACCCCACTGAAGAGACGTTTGCTCCCTCTCCCCGGGGGATAGCCATGCCACAGTCCTCCGTTCTCTTAGGATTTTGGGCGTGCATGTGGACCTGCCCAGTATGGACTCAAACTGTGGTCGACTATATGGGGGGTCCAGCGATATAACCACTACACCATCTGCTGGTCCCCCTGTGTTCAGTTTCTAAAACTGATTTGCCATCTTGTTTTCATTTCTAATAATTATATATTAAAAATATTAACCGTTTTTTATATATTGTGTAAGTATTTTCCCCTGAATCTTTTAATGTTGATAGCTACTGGCTTGAAGGCTGGCCCTATAGCATAGCAGTTGACCACCATGCTTTGGGAATTGGATCTCAAATGGCTGACCACAGTTTGAGGCCTAGCCCTGGTAGCTTGGAAGACTTGCTGGGGGCCTGTGTGTGCATGCCCAAAGTCCTGACAGGATGGAGAAATGAAAGGGGGATTTGGCATGACTGTAACCCGGGTAGTAAGGTGCTTTCTTTCTTTCTCTCTTCTGTCTGTCTGTCTTTCTGTCTCTCTCTCTGGCAGCTGAAAAAAAAAAAAAAAAAACAAGAAGAAAGAAAGAATTGGGGTGGTAGAAGAAATGTACTTTCTTGAATATAAATTTACACACTTTTTTTCCCCACTAGAGAGTGCATGTGCTTGCCAGAGGAGGGAGAAAACATCTCGTCAGTGGGGTGTGGTCACACTGTAATCCCTTCTCCTCCATTCTGTCAGGATTTGGGGCACACACACCCACGTGCCTGGCATTTTTGTCAGGTCAGCAGGTTTGGATTCAAACCACAGTCAGTCACATGGGATCCAACTTCCTTAACTAGGCCACCAGGCTGGCCCTACATATTAAACTGTACCATTTGGACCAGCAGCTAGTGTGGTGGTTAGGGCACTGGACTCCTACATGGCTGATCATGGTTCGAGTCCTGGACCTGGCGGCTTGCTTTCTCTCTGTCTCTCTTTCACTCTCGCTCTGTTCCTCTCTGGTCAATTAAAATAAATAAAATAAAGTTAAATAAAATAATTCTTTTAAAAAAGGAACTATCATCAAAGTGAAATGCAATAAGGTAAAGTTATAGAGAATCTAATACTGAAAACACAGACTGTATCATATGACACAACAACCCAACCTTGTTTTTGTTTGTAAGGAAGAAAATAAATTGTATTTCTTTTTTTTCTTTTTTTTAAACTCATGATAGAGCACAAGTGCACACGGATGAGAATAAGAGAGAGAGGCACCTGCCACAGGGTCTGGTCATCTGTGATCTTATTTCTGTGTCATCCTCCCACCCCGTCAGATTTGGGGTGCTCACATGCACACATGGTGTATTTCAAGCTGACCAGGCCAGAGATTGAAACCAAAGTCACCATGTGGTTCATGAGATCTCTCTCAATCTCTCTCTCTCTCTCGTACTTGTACTTGCCAGAGAGAGAGCGTTGTAGGTGTTGGACTCCCACAAGACTGACTGGGACTGTGGCCATGCCATACCTCCATTTCTCCACCCATCAGGATTTAGGACATGCATGCTCATGTACCCCAGTGTGTCTTTCCAGCTGCCAAGGCCAGGATTCTAACCATGCTTAGCCATGTAGGATCCAGCTCCCAGTGCACACCACTTAAGCACTGCTACAGGCCAGCCCCTTAGCTTCTTTTTTTTTTTTTTTAAGAATTATTTTATAGGAACCAGCAGTTAGCGTTATGGCTATGTCACTTGACTCCATGTAGTCGACTGGTTCGAGTCCTGGACCCAGTGGCTTAAACTCACACGAGGCATGTGTCTGTGCACAGGATCCCAAGAGGAGAATGGAGGAGAAGGGA